CCATAATGAGGTGACGCCTGTCACAACAGCGTGAGATGGTTGCTTGACAAGGTATAGGCAGATCTGCCCATCACAGAAGGAGAGGAGGAGACCTTCAACCCAGAGGAGCTTCCTCAGGCTTCTGAAACCCAGAAAACCCTACTTACTGGCTGGCTTCTGGCTTTGCTTTGTGGCCAAGCCCCAAGGCCTGGGTATGGCAAGTTTGCAGCGCTAGGCCCACACCTGGTGGCTGGGTACCACCACTGAGGTGAGCAGAGCACTGCTTATCTTTGTCATCTGTGTGATGTCAGGAGTGCCGGGAAGGAGAATAGTGTAGTGTAATAGTTAAGATCATGGAGTCTGAGTCATACAGACCTGAGTTCAAATCCCTACTCTGCCGTTCACTGGCTGTTTGACCCTGAGCTAGTCACTTAACCTCTCCGGGCCTGTTTGCTTATCTGCAAAGTGGGGCCATTAATATATACCTCCAGGGTTGTTGTAGTGATGAAATGAGAGGATTCTTTCATTCCACAAAGATGTATGGAGTGCTCACTATGTGCACAGCTCTGAGCTGGAGACCCAATGGGACCAGAGAGGCTGCAGCTCTGCTCTCCTGGACATGGAGAGCCCCTGGCACGGGCCTGGCGCGCAGTGAGATTCAACAAGCAGTAGCTATTTTTATGATGACCATTTTGGCATTCTGCCACTAACTTTGTCATGGGACCTGGGCAGAGCCCCTTCCTCTTTCCCCTGAGGAAACTGGGCCTCAGTTTCCTCAACCGTAAAACGATGGAGTTGGACTGCATCAGTGGTTCCCAACCTTCTCAACTTCAAAGCTTATTTTACTATTTTCCCTCCACAGGAGCCTCATATCTGGTAAGATTTTGTCTTCCAAGGGACCCCTGCTGCCCTGGAGGACCCTTCAGCCAGGAGGCCAGACTGGAACACACTGAACTGGACGTTCTCCTTCAAGCTGAGAGCTGGAGATGCCCCATCACTTGTATGGCCCCCAGGGAGATCTGAACTTTGGGCTGTATGCCCACTCGGCTCTCCTCAGAGCCCTGGTATTCCCCTCCCCGGAATGAGAGAGACCCCTGAACTCTTCTTTCCCGGAATGGGGGGGGTGGGGACATGCCATGCACCTGAGCACTCAGAATTCCCGGGGATTCAGTCATCAACTGGGACCCCCACATTGGCATATGTGCGCGCGTTAACAAAGGCCACAGTGAGGAGTAGCACATAACCCAAGCTCCGATGGGGCCATGACATTTTGAAATATGTTTTTCATCTTTTCCTGGGTGTCCCTCAGCCCTTCTCTTATGCAGATGGGTTACTTTGCATTCGTTATGTCAGGAAACAAATGATACAACAGAATGCAGAGTTCATTTTTAGCTTCTGAATTCCAAAAGCCTAGCCTTCAGGGAGGAATGGAAAGAATTTCTGTGCAGATATAAACTGAGAAAACTGTGCAACAAGGGGGATCTGGGAGACTGAGACTTGGAGGGTGGTCCCTGGGAGCAGAGAAGCTTCTCCTCAGCCTCTTAGCTGGAGGGCATCAGCGGGGTCTCAGGGAGTTGTGCTCCTTTTCCTGGTGGAGCACCAGGGAGTAACCAAACCCTCTGAAGAAACAGCTGTGTGCTGCATTTGGGCAAACAGGGCCTAACTAACCCAAGATCCTCAGAATCTCCTGGACCTGACTGGCCAGGGAAAAGTAGAATGAAAATCTGACCCCTGAGAGCGGTGGTCAGGGAGGAGCCACTCAGCAGCAGCCTGAGTGGGCTGACGACAAAAGACCAGAACAAAATGAGGACAGCTCAGTAGATGCTCATGTGACTGGATGACCCCCAGATCGGACTGCCCTTCCCAGGCTTTGGCATCTCGAAAGGAAGTGCCCTAGAATTCAACCAACTCCAAGGAAAGTTGGAGGAACTTTGAGTTGACTGCAATTAAGTTTCTGCCACTCAGGCTGAGTGAGGCAAAGTAGGAATTCAGTTGAGTTAGAGAAAATTCGCGTTATATTACTGCCACACCAGAAATTGGAACCAGCTACACTCCTTACCCACAAGGCCTGGTATCATTTGTCCCACCCCCTCCCATTTCTCCTGCCTCACCTGCCTCTCTCCCCTCCATCAATAGTGCTTCATTATTGCCCCCAACCCCTAAGCGTTCCCACCTCAGGACCTTTGCATTGGCAGTTTCCTCTGCCTTCTTTTGGCTCTTTAAATGGCAGGCCCCTTCTCACTTTAAATTTCACTTCTTCAGTGAAATTTTATTTTATTTCCAAAATAAAACCACTTCTGTATTCTCTCTCAAAGTGTCTTGTTTATTTCCTTTGTGACATCTGTTAAGTATTTTTACTATTTTTGTTTATGGTCAGTTACCCCCTCTACAACGTCAGCTCCTTGAGGGAAGGACCCTTGTCCATCTTTTTCTTTTTTTTTTTTTTTGTGAGGAAGATTAGCCCTGAGCTAACATCTGTCGCCAATCCTCCTCTTTTTGTTGAGGAAGATTGGCCCTGGGCTAACATCTGTGGCCATCTTCCACTTTATATGGGATGTGGCCACAGCATGGCTTGACAATCGGTGAGTTGGTGAGTGCCCGGGATTCTGAACCCCAGGCTGCTGCAGCAGAGAGGGCACACTTAACCACTAAGCCACCGGGCCGGCCTTTTTTTTTTTTCTTTTGTGAGGAAGATCAGCCCTGAGCTAACATCTATGCCAATCCTCATCTTTTTTTTTGCTGAGGAAGACTGGCCCTGGGCTAACATCCGTGCTCATCTTCCTCCACTTTATATGGGACGCCGCCACAGCATGGCCTGACAAGCGGTGCGTCAGTACGCGCCCGGGATCTGAACCCAGGCCGCCAGCAGCGGAGCGTGAGCACTTAACCTCTACGCCACCGGGCAGGCCTGACCCTTGTCCATCTTGATGTTCCCTCAGAAGCTGGCATTGTGAGTAGAATTACTTGTGGAATGAATGATGGGTGGCAGTTAGGGAATTCCTGGCTTGCCATAGGCTAGTGGGCACTGAGCTTCCTCAACCCTACCTGGGCCCCTGACAGCCTTTCCCAGCAATTTGGGATCAGATGCCAAAAGACCCATCACCTTGGGGCTTGAAGACTTCGCTGTGCTCTACTCCAGGGATTCAGCAGGGGTGTGTCTCAGCAGGGCCTGGTTCCCCTCCTTCCCATCTATCCTCCCAGTGCCTTGCCTAGGAATGACAGAGGGCCCACTGGGTCTGGTGCCCGATGCTCATGGAATATGCCCTGAGCCTCTCTTCTCAGCAATCCATACTCACCCTACTGCTTCCCTCCCTGGCCTGAGGGCTCTCCCTTGCTCTGCTGAGGATGTAGACACCCCTGGCACACCATTTAAAAGCCTCAGAGCTAGACCTTTCCTCCATCCCTAGGCCAACCTCCCAGCATATGCCCTCTTCAAGTTTGGAAACATTTGCAGACCCGTGGGGAACCTCAGTAAGAGAGGCTGTGGCGGGGACTCCCTGCCAGTTCATCGTTCCAGACAGGGTGGCTCTCTCCCCACTTGCTACGAGTATGTGGGCATTTCCAAAGTGAGGACATCCCTTCTGTGCCTGCCTTCTGGTTTCTCTCACCAGCGGTCACCTTGTGGTGTCAGTTCCCTTAACTCTAGCTGAGAGAGGGGCCTGGAAACTCAGAGAAGTGGTTTTCTCCTTGCTGGGACCCACTGTTCTCTCTTGAAGGCAAAGGGCAGAGTCGAAGCAGCTTCCAGGACCTCTGGGCAATGAAATAAACACAGTGTGCAGAAGAATCATGGTGGGTGGGTGGGTGTTAATAATGCAGATTCCAGGGTTACAGATTCTGGTTCACGTCTGGGGAAAGGGGGCCCAGGAAAGTACCTTTTCTAGACATATCCCAGTTGGTTCTGATGGGGTGGTCCAAGGACATTTTGACCGAGACTGGGCTAGAAGGTGAATGCACGGACCTTGGGCTGCTCGCGCCCACACGAACACTCCTCTCAGATCTCCCTCAAGAAATGAAAGCGTCCGGGGGCCAGCCCAGTGGCGCAGCGGTTAAGCGCGCGCGCTCTGCTGCGGCAGCCCAGGGTTCGCCGGTTCGGATCCCGGGCGCGCACTGATGCACCGCTTGGCAAGCCCTGCTGTGGCGGCATCCCATATAAAGTGGAGGAAGATGGGCACAGATGTTAGCCCAGGGACAGTCTTCCTCAGCAAAAAGAGGAGGATTGGCATCGGATGTTAGCTCAGGGCTCATCTCCCTCACACACACACAAAAGAAATGAAAGCGCCTGAAGGTCAAGGGCCCTGCCTTATTTGATCCTCTGGCGCAGCAGCTCTCAGGCTGGATCTCATCTTGTGGTTCTTGACCACCTCCTCCACTAGATTATAAGCTCCTTTCCAGAAGGGACCAAGTTGCATTCAACAACGTGAGCTCAGCAGAAGGCCTGGCACCCGGCAGCTGCTCTGTGCATGTTTATTTGATAAAGACAAACTCTCTGGTTCCACATCTGGTTCCACCATCTCAGCTGCTTTCACTGAGATGGTAGTTTGCTGGTGGCAGGGGTGGTGCAGCTGCAAGGCAGCAACAAGGAAGACCTGGGTTCTAACCTGAGAACCCCTTCTTCCCTGAGGACCCAACAACTCTCAGAATCGGAGCCTGATTTCCTGCTGTTGGATGAGCTCCCACTCTAGGGGAGTGCCCAGGATTACTCCAGCCTCTCCATCTCAGGAAATAGCAGTGAGACTAAGAGCCCCTTGAACAGGGAATTGGAACAGAAAAGCCACTTTCCACCTAACCAGACTGAAGGACTCTCCTACTAGAGTCCTCAAACTTTGCTGGTATTAGTACCATCAGGGAACTTAAAAAAATCCCAATGCCCAGGCCACACCCCATACCAATTACATGCAAATAGCTGATGGTGGGACAGGTGATTTCAATGTGCAGCCAAGTCTGAGAGCCAGCGCCTTACTGCACGGAACCACCAAGGAGCCCAGCACACATCAGGGGAAGCAAGAGGCATGGACTTGTTTGTATCCAAATTTAGATTTATGAGAAAACAAACACAAGTGCAAGAGAAACCGGTGGACACCTAATTAGGGGTGGCTCAGGCTGAGCACATTTAATAACAGTCACTGAGACAGGGCCGAAGACTATTTGACAGATTCCCTAAATCAGTAAATCAGAGATGCAAATGATCAAAAGGGAGGTTTGTCACCTACCCCAAGGCCACAGACAAATAGAATTCTGGGTCCCGAGGTGAGTCTGGGAAGTGGGACCCTATGAAAAGCAGTGTGACAGGTGGTGTCCGTCAGAGACACCAGCTTCTGGGCTGGCCCCGCTCCCTCCCCAGGTTCTGGGCAGGGAGGGAGAGCAGGCAGCTGGCTCAGTACAACTCTGGAGGAACCTGAGAGGGGCTTGGGGCTTGCTGAGGGGACAGGCTCATTTGTACTTCTTGGAGGGAAATTCCCGCCGGCCCTGGCCCTTGCCGCCGAAGTTGCGCACCCGATGGATGACCTGCAGCTGCTGCTCGATGGTGGCGGTAATGTTCACGTCATCTGGGATGTGGACGTAACGGACGTTCCGGCCTGTCACGAAGAGGTCATCCAGTTCGACCTGATGCCCCCAGCGGTCAGTGTAGGTGACGTTGGCCAGGCGGATGTTCATGAAAGCATCGACATTGTCTATGCGTCCCCGGGCCACGCTCTCATCCCGCAGGTCCACCGTGGTTACCTGGCCCTGGAGACCCTGCAGCAGGATGATCAGGCTGTTCTCCGAGATGGTCCGCTCCTTCACCGAGTGGCTCACCGCCATTCTTCCCCACGGCCGGCAGCTCGCTGTGGGAGGAGCACACAGACGCGCGCTGTAGCAGTCTAGGGGGTGCAGCTGCCAACTCACCTCCACCGGGTTCTAGCACTAAATTCCCAGCACAGGCTTCCCCCAGTCTGCCTATCTCCCCAATTTATGTGTCAACAGAACACCCTTAAGAGCCAGGTACTCACGTGCACACCTCAGAATCCTCACACCACCTTGCAAGGATTACTTATACTCATTTTATAAATGAGGAAAATATGGCCAGGAGAAGTTAAGTAACTTGCCCAAGGTCACACAGTTGATAAGTGGAGGTGCTGGGATTCACATCCATGGCTGCCCGACTCCAAACCCCACATCGGTGGTTCTAACCCTCACTGTATACCAGAATCACCTGGTGAGTTTTTACCTGGCCACCACACCCTGGAGGTTCTGATTCATTTAGCCAGGGGCGGAGCCCAGGTATCCTATTTTTTAAAAGCTCCCCAGGTAATTCTAACGTGCATCCAAGTTTGGGAACCACTGATCTAAAGAGTAATTTACACCCTTGCTACTCAAAGTATGGTCTGTGGACCCGAAGTTTCAGCATCACCCAGGCACTTGTCAGAAATGCAGACTCGCTGGTCTCTCCCCAGACCTCCTGAAGAATCTGCATTTCAACATGACCCCTAGATGAATCACCAGTTCTCAAATGTTAGCGTGCATCAGAATCACCTGGCGGACTTGTCAAAACACAGATTGCTGGGCCCCACTCCCAGTTTTTAACTTAGTCGGTCTGAGGTGGGGCCCAAGACTGTGCACATCTAACATGTCCTTAGTTGATGCCGAACTTGCTGGTCTGGGGCCTACACTCTTCGAACCACTGGTCTACATCATGCTGCTATCCTATAAGCAGAAATTTAGGTAATTAATTGAAAAAAAATGGTAGCATATGAAGCACGTGGGTTTTGAAGGTAGAGAAACCTGGGCTGGAATCCCCACTCCACCCACAAACTCTTTAAACTTAAGACAGCTACTTAATGTCTCTGAAACTGTTTCCACATCTATTAAACCATAAGCTAAACAAGGCTTACAGAATCTTACTACACTGAAGGTACTTCCTTCTGTTTTCAACATGCCCTGATATTGTATTAATGTAATTTTGTCTTATCTATCCCCTATTTTCAGACCCTGAGTGGAAGGTGGTGGAATTTTCTTAAGACCTCATTCAGAATCCTGACAGGGGAGTGCAGGGTGACGTTAGGTGTGGCAAGCCAGCCCACACCACTGATGAGCGAGGCTGGGAGCTGGGCCGGAAGAGTCTAACGACCCCACCCAGGCTTCACCAGCAGTACGTGCCCAAGCAAGGGTTTGGGGCTGCAAAGAGGCAGGCCTGGGCTCTGGGACGGGCTCTGCCACTTCCTAGGAGGGACACCTCGAGCCAGCCACTTAGCTTCCGCAAGCCTGTTAGCCAATCGGTAAAACGGGGATGGGGACGACCCTTTACTCACAGAGCAGTGGGAATGGGCTTGGAGAGATGCACTATACTCAGCAAATAGAGAAGAAAACGTTTCCTCTGCTCCCCGCCGCCTTCTGGAGTTCCGAGGTACTGGGCTCCCCAGCGCCCCGACCCCGAGCTCCCCAAACCCACCGCGCTGGGTCCCTTCCGCTTTCCCGTTCCGCGTCGCCTCGGAAGCTAGCGGGCGCCTAGCTCGGCCGCCTCCCTCCAGCCGCGGGACTGAGAAGCCATGGCAACGGCGGGGCCGTTCTGTCCTTCCGGAGCATAGAGAGCGCGTCAGCACGCAGGGGCCGCGCCACCGCGGGGCGAGCTCCGAACTACAATTCCCAGAACGCCTCGCGGGCGCCGTGACTCTCGCTGTTGCAATCCCCGGCCTGCGTCATTGGATTCTCTCCTTCGAGTCATCCGTTCATTCAGCAGATAGTCATTGAGCCTTCCCTAATGTGTCCGGCTCCTTCTCAGGCTCTGGACGTAGAGCGTGACTAAGGAGACAAGCTGCCTGATCTGATGACCCTCTGATTTACTGGGTGGGATTGGGGGAGTCGTCTGTAAGAAAACAAACAAGAAAATTATGATAAAAGTTCTTCAGAGAATTAAAATAGGGTGATACGATAGTGGCTGGGTGGATTCTTAGGGACGTCCTGAGAAGGTGACATTTGAGCTGAGATGAATGACATGAAGCCAACCGTGTGAAAACTAGGAGAGAAATATTGCAATTAGAGGGAACAGTTTGCACAAAGGACCTGGTGCAAATGAGCTTCACAGGTTGGAAAAACAGGTCTAGCTGGATGACCTCTTTGTGACGGGCCGTAAAGTCCGTTATGTCCTTCACAGTGCTTGACCATATTGATCAGCCTCCTCATCCAGCCTCATTTTTTTCTGGGGCATTGTATCATTTGATTTCCCTCGTTTCTCTGATTGCTTCTTCTCCATCTCTCTCTCTCTTTTTTTTTTTGAGTAAGAGTGGCCCTGAGCTAACACCTGTTGCCAATCTCCCTCTTTTTTTTTCCCTCCCCAAAGCCCCCCAGTACATAGTTGTATATCTTAGTTGTAGGTCCTCTCTCTCTTTTTTTAAACCCCACTTCCTTCTCCTGCTCCCCAAACATGTGTGCTTTCTCTGGGGCTCTATTCCTAGCCCAGCTCTCTACTTGGTCGCATCTATCTCCATACCGTCTACTACATGTGCTGAGTCCCTTGTCTAGGTCTCCAGCCCAGACTGCTCTACAGAAATCCATTTTCCAACTGTCTGTTGCTTATTCCCACATGTTTTACTGGTACCTGAAACTCAGCATGTCTATGAGACAAATTCATCAAGTCCTTCCTAAATCACTTGCTGCTCTGAGTTTTTCTATTTCTGTGGTTGCTGCCACCATTTTTCAACTACCCAAGTTGGGCACCATGAATAAACTTGACAACCTCTATCATTTCTTGATTCCCCCACACCGGTCACAGTCACTGAGCCCTGCAAATTCTTTGAAGTGTGTCTCCCACCCTTCACGTGCTTTTTATTCTGACTGCTACCACCCAGCTGAGACCCTCTTTCTCTCATTTGGTTCGTTATAAAAACCATCTTACTGGCCTTTGTGTCTCATGATCCTTTGCCAACAGATTCAAAGTACAGTTGTGATCTTATTATTTACTTGCTAAGGAAACTTTCAACTCACTAGCAGAATAAAGGTTCCACTGCTAACATTGATTTAATTCCAACCTGTCTTCCAGTTGGATCTCCTTCAGGTTTTCTACCCAAACTCTCCAACCAGTGTTTCTTCAAGTGTGGTATGGGAACCAGCTGCCTTACTGTTATCTGGAATACTTGTTTAACCCAACCTCAGACCTACAGAATCAAAAGTGGAGCCCGGGAATCTGCACATCTAACAATGCACACTAAAATTTGAGACCCACTGCCCTCCTCTCTAGTCAGACTCAGCCACTCGGCAACAAGCTCTGCCCTCTTGTCTCTCCCTTTGCTATTCTGTTCTACCTGCCTAGATCCTCTCTTGTTTATCTGTGGATGTTAAGTCCAATCTCTCCCTCAAAGCCTAGCTCAATTGCTGTACCTTTCTGAAGTCTTCACTGATTCCCCCAATTGGGAGTGATGTCCCTCCTCTGACCCCTATACCATATTGCTCATTATATGTTTGCTTGCTGCATGCAGAATCACCATAGTGATTTACATAAATCTTACCTCCTCTACTAGTCTCCTGGGTGTTGAGCCAGGAAGAAGGCCTTAGGAGGCTCAAATGCTTCACACTGTAAACCACAGTTGCATGAGGAACACTGGTTTTATGCATGTGGTGAGAAAGTGATAGGAATCTGAATGAAGATGGTGGCAGTGGGACTGGAAAGAAGGGATGAATTTTAAAGACTCTGAAAAGAGCTAATCAGAATCCTTGGAGGCTGATTAAATCTGGAGCGTGGGTAGGAGAAGGAGGAATTAATCATTTAAATTTTAACACTGGGTACCCAGAGAGATATAGCCAGCCCTGGTGGTCTAGTGGTTAAAATTTGGCGCTCTCACTGCTGTGGCCCAGATTCGTTTCCGGTCAGGGAACCATACCACCCGTCTGTCAGTTTTCATCCTCTGGCGGCTGCTTGTTGCTGTGATGCTGAAAGCTATGCCACTGATATTTCAAATGCCCCCAGGATCACCCATGGTGGACAGGTTTCAGCAGAGCTTCCAGAGTAAGATAGACTAGGAAGAAGGACATGGCCACCCACTTCTGAAAAGATTGGCTGTGAAAGCCCTATGAATAGCAGCAGAGCATTGTCTGATACAGCGCCAGAAGATGAGAGGATGGAGCAAAAAGACTGGGCAGGGTTCCGCTCTGTTGTACACAGGGTTGCTAGGAGTCGGAATCAACTTGATTGTACTAACAACACATCTAGAGAGATGGTAGCCCATTGATAGGAATAAGAGGGTTGGGAGTGGGGATGGAGCTCATGCCTGTGGGGGATATCTCATTTTTTGGTTATTCAGCCACTGAACTCCTTTCTCCACATTTGGGGAAATCTGACATTCTATGAATTTTGGTGGGAGGTGGGGTTCTGCTTCCCACTACAGATGACTTAAAGGCCAGATATTGTCTCTGATCTTTGTCAGCTATAGCATGGGCTTGTGACCTAAACTCTAAGTCTGAAGCGAGTGACACAAGCTAGCAGGGACTGTTTAGGCTCCACCCTGGTGTCTGCGTCATCTAGCGCCTCATTCCTGGGGTGCTGCTGGTGCTGGAGTCCTTCCCTAGGCTGCCTACCCTTCCTCGTTCCCTGCCATTTCCTCATGGTTCTTCATGAGAGAGAACTGCCTGAAGCCCTTTCAGTAGATTCCTTCTCCACTTAAGTAGCCAGAATTGGTTTCAATTTTTTTGCAACCAAAAACCCAAACTAGTACAGGGCCCACTTGAATTGACTTCATTTCAGGAGACTTGAATTTCTCTGTTCGCTTTAGATGAGCTCTGTTGTGGTTCTGTTTTACAACCGTCAGAGGGTCACAGAATCCTTAGGGCGATTCCCAGGTCACCTGCTCCAACTTACCACTCAGTGCCCAAACCCCCTCGACAGAGACTCCAGGGACCAGCAACTCACTTCTTTGCCAGGTGTTCTACCCCATTGTTAGGAATGTTGATGTCACTAACGACACTGACAGGATGGCACTAACAACTAACGACAGGTGTTACGGTAAATATATATTTTTTTAAAATTTGCATTTCTCTTTCCATGGTTTCCTGTGGCTGAGTTGGTCTCTACACTGGACGTAAACCAGATGCAAGTAACTTTTACCCATCACTTCTAGTTCTTTTCTATGGAAAACTGTCCTATTTTGCATTATATTTAATTTTGAAAGTTTCTTCATGCCTTTTGAAGGTAAATGTACTAAGTAAATAAAAATGATGTCAGTGTTAGACACTAAATGTGAGGTGATGTGGAATGTCTCAGGGAAAGTGAGCCTGCAGCCCAGGTGAGGGGGGACACAGGGATTTGCGAGCCAGTAGTGATGGTTGAAAGTAATGGCCTCTCTAAAAAAAAAAAAAAGTGATGCAAAACAATTTGCAGAAGAACGCAAACTAAGCACTGTAGGGCACACAAAACATTTGGTCAGCACTGTGAGAGTAAGGGATTGGGTGAGGGCGAGAAATGGAGTGAGAGTGAGGGATGAGATGAGAGTGAGCAATGGGGAAAAACAAGCCAGGGATGAAGCGGGATCAAGTGGCAATTGACCTGGCTGTTCTGACAGACTTAAAAATGGCTACATCGACACCTGTATCACACAGGGCAATCCTCAATCAGAAGCCACAGGGAGAGAGGGCAAGTGTGGTCAGAAAGTAGTATGATTTGAGCCACCCAGGCCAAAGGGTGAGGGAGTTTTCGGAAGGAAAGGGTGTTTAGCAGGGCCAAGAGCTTTCAAATAGCCAAGGAGAATGGGGAGGAGAAAAGGCTATTGGATCTAGCATAGTGGGGGCCTGGAGGTGGGAGAAGGGGTCTGTGGAGCGACAGGAGCTATGGGGGGTATAGACGTGAGGAAGGTGAAGCAGTAAGGAAACCTGGAGGGCTGGTGAGGGCATGGAGAGGGACATATGAGCAGCTGGACGAATTAAGTTGGAGAGAAGGAGCCTCTGGAGAAGCAGGGCGAAGGTGTGGGTGGGAGTGGTTTGGAGAGGAGGAGGAGATCCTCAGCAGCCATTTGGATAAACATCTGAGGTGCAGAAAGAGAGCTGGGTGCAGTTGAGGGAAGGAAGGGTATAGATAACAGACAGGCTGAGGTAGAGAGGAGAGATGAGGGAGAGCGTACAAACCAAGTACTAGCTTCTCAACAGTAACCAAAGCTGAGAGGCTTTTAGGATATCCAGAAAACCCAAGTCAAACGTCCTTGGCTGACACCATGACTTCTCCTTGAAAACCTGAAAAAACTTTGGCCCCAACATTTCAAAAGAAAGTTGGGAAGTTTTATAAGGAGAAAGGAGGGCAGAGGGATCTGGGGCAAATGTGCACATCTAGGATTTGGGAGTTCTGGGTCTGCTCCCAGCTCTTCTGGGGCTGTGCTAGTGGTGTGGCCTCACCGGGCTAATGCAACTGGGGTTTCATATAGTTTTGGGAACTAACAGAGAAGCTAGCGTTATTTTTGTCAGCAGAGGCACCACTGGTCAGAAATGAAAAAAATGCAGTGTATATAGGGGGAAAGTGTTAAGGTAATGAAATAATTCAAGATAATTTCCATTGACCCTTGGAATGCATCTTGACATTCTCCTTCGAAAGGGGGGTGAGTTATGATCTGAGAATTTCCTTCACACCGAGTCCTGAGGCTCTGCAGGGAAGATTCAACCGTGAAGGGGGTTCCCTAGCCTAAAAATACTCCCTTTAACTCCCTCTACTGTCAACTGTCCAGGAATTTAGCAGCTGAAAAGGAGTTATCCAGAGCATAATTTGAAGAGAGTAAGGGGTAAGTAAAGGTTGTATTAATTTTCAGATTTCAACTTGGGTCTTTATTATTAGGTATTATGGCAAATATATGTTTTTTCTAAAATTTGCATTTCTCTTTTTATGGTTTCCCATGGCTGAGTTGGTCTCTATACTGGCTGTAAACTAGATGCCAGGGGATGAGGGAATCTGATCCTGGTTAGACTTGGGGATCTCTGGGGTCTGGTTACCATGCTGAAGCTTGTTTCTGACCTATAGGATCTGGATCTAAGGAAAAAAGGGAGTTTACCTTTAAAAACTGTTAGTTATGTGACTACATGAGATGACTTTCCTCTTAGAACGGAGGGCTAAATACCGCCCCCCAACCCCCCCCATTTTTCTCTCCTTTGGGAGCCACTGAAGTGCTTTCGTTCAGAAGGCTTTTCTAGAGCCCTGCCTTGCATACTCTTGGGGCATTCTCACACTCTGATAAGAACAAGAGAGGAACAGTTTGAACTTAGTCGAGAAGAGGGTAGTCGCAGAAGAGCTGAGAGAGAGCAGATGTATACCCCCAAAGCATGGAGTCGGGGGCAGCATGGGTAAAAATTCCAATTCTTAGGTCCCACTGGGGCAGGGCCTAGGAATCAGTAAACTCAACAACTTATCTGGGCAAGCTGGCTTCGGGCCACTGAACTGTTCTTTCTCTCTCTGACAGTTGAGGGGGCTGAGGCTTGAGGATAACTGCCCAGGATGCCAGGGTCAATTTGGGGTGGGGATGGGACCAGAGCCCAGTGTTCTAGCTCTGACGGTGCTGTGCCTTTCCCTGAAGAGCACTGGGCACGGCTGTGTAACACCCTCGTCCCCGTGGCCTGGTTGAAATGAACACTGATGCGTTGTTAGTACTCGGTCCACATTCTTGCCAGAGTAATCCCTGTCTTCTTTTATCTTTGCCTGCTCCTGACTCCTGTGGTTTCCTTGGATGCCCTGAACTACCGTGCAAATAAACTTGTTTTTCTCAATATTTGTGCAAGTCTAGAGCACGAAACTCAAAGATTGCCTCATCCCGAAGCTGCCTTACCAGAGATCTGTATCTTGTTTATTTACCAAGAGGACAGATACGTTTGAAATCATCGGCATGGCTCTGGGATAGGTGGAGGGAGGCGGCCGCTTCTCGGCAGCTCGTGGCCCACCTCCAAGGCCCCAGGATGCGCTCAGAGCACACAGTGAAGCTTGAGTTTGTGGCAGTGCAGTGGGAGCCTGACACAACAGGACAGAACCTTTCCCTTCATCTCTCACCCAGTCAGGCCACCCCAATCGGTGGCCAGATTGCTTAAAACAGAAGGCACTTTGTAAGCCTGTAAGAAGTGGTTTATACCACGATATGCTTCTCCTCCCCAACGGACCTTTTGGGGGGTCTTTGTAGGTAAGGAAGCATAACTTCACGGGTAGGAAGCAACTTTATTTGGTGGTTTACCCTTCTGTATCCAAACCCCACATCTTGGGCAAGCTAAAGGACAGCTTCCCTGGCCCTCACATTCCAGAACTCTGTTTGCCTCCACTCTTGCCAGGGTGCGAGGGGCCCGAGTGGTCCCTGTGGTTGGTCCAATCTCAGGCAATGACCAGCTCAGCTACCCTCCTCCTACCCCTTCTCTCCTACCGTCTGCCATTCTGGATAGTCCTTCCATAGGACTGAAAGGACTTTGACCTCTGGATGTTGGTTGGTCCCAAGCCCACCAGTTAGTCCCAGGATGAGCACGCAGGGAAGGGCTGACATTCCTTCCTGAAGCAATCAGGGCAGCCCTGGCCTGAGACATTTTACATGGCTCCCAATTAGACTTGGCATCCTGTGGAAGGGCAAGTGGCACACCACACATGCCGCCCACGTCTCCAACTTAAGGCTCTGCTTGGCCACTGATGGTGAGGCAGAGGAGACAGATGTCACGACATATCATGCTGGGTGACCTTAGAAGGCAAGAACACGAAGTGGCAGAGGAAGACTCTGGGGATAAGGAGTACATATGCTGAAAGCAAAATATTTCCTTGGTACACCTCTCCATATGGGATAAGCCCACACCACATATGGATAGAGAGATGTGCAGAGAACTCAGACACCCACATGCCCTGCATGGGGCCCAGCTGAGTGTCCCCTGACACAGCCTTGCTTACTCTGCCTCTGAGGTTATAGTTCCCAGTGTACCAGGGAGAGGAGGGCTGTCTGAACTGGGCCCTAACTGTTTGAGGCAATTGTCTTTTCCACTCAGTTCAAACTCACTAACAAGGCAGAATACATCCCAGAAAGCTCTGAGGTTTCACGATGCTTTGCAGGCATCTGTGAGTTGTAGGTCCCCACAGGAAAGCTGTAATTGAAAGTGGCAGCAGGGGGCCAACCTGGTGGCGTAGTGGGTAAGTTCGTGCACTCTGCTTTGGCAGCCTGGGGTTCGCAGGATGGGTCCCGGATCTACACAGTGCTCATCAAGTCATGCTGTGGCAGCATCCCGCATACAAAATAGAGGAAGATTGGCATGGACGTTAGCTCAGGGACAATCTTCCTCAAGCAAAAAAAAAAAAATAAATAAATAAATAAATAAAATAAAAAAGAAAGTGGCAACAGGAGTGCCCCCTTCCCTGCTCTGGGGCTTGAACCTACGGCCCAGGATGCCTTGGATGGTTGTCATAAAACCAGAAAGAAAATGGGAAAAGTCCAATTTAAAAGCCAGAATATATTCTGCTGAAAATATGTGCATGTGTGCGCCTTCCAGAGAGTGTGCTCCCAGAGGGAGACTTGCACAGTTCGTTACAACATAGACAGGAACAAGGGGTGACGGCTTCACCCAGTAGAAAACTAGCAGCATCGTTTTGCTCCCTGGGGCATCCCCCAGGGTCCTCATCAGGCAGCCTCTCCCATAGGGGAGGGGTGCGCCTGGTCAGCACAGCGATAACTCATCCATCATGGCAAGTAAATCATCTCCTTTGCTGGCGCTCCGCCTTGGTGGGTCCGAGATCTCAAACTCCCCCATGATCCGAGCCAGCTCTTCGTTCCTTTGCTGGTCCTGTTGGAGAAACGAGAGGTGAAAGGGAATGAAGAGGATGTGTTGGCACCACTGCCTCTTTGTGCAGTTGGTATTTAATTTTCGTCCCCCCACTGGGATGCATTTCAGTTCCTCACCTGTTTGTCAGAATAGGGACTATAGTTACATGCTGATTAGAGAGAAGGGGGGCCTTTGAAGTTCAAGGATATTACAGATGCGGAGGGGAATAAGATCTGACTTGTGTAATCCCCTGGACACACCTGAGTTGCTTGTATGTTGATAACTTCATAGGATAACTCTTCCGGCCTGGTTAGTGCTGCTTGTCTGCATGAGATGGTAGAGAAATGGGTCAAAGGTTAGGGTTTTCTCCCTGCTACGTGGCAAACTGGCACTTGATAATCTGGCAACCTATTTTTTCTGCCTCATCTTCTGCCATTTCCCTTCACCCTTCCACTATCCCCAACCAATGCTCTCTGTATTCCAGAAAGTCAAGTCCTTTTCTGTCTTTGTGCCTTTGCACATACTAAACTCTGCCAAGAATATTTTTCCCCTTCCTCTGCTTGGCAAACCCCAAGACTCAGCTCAGAGGCCAACTCCTTCAGTCGGCCAGTGCAAAGTCACTGCGTCCTCCGTTAGAACATTTATGACATGGCGCTGAAATAATTGATGAAATGTTCATTCTCTTGTTATGCTGGGAGCTCCTGAGGACAGGGTCTAGGTGTTACGCTCCATTTCTGTGTCCCCGGCACTTACTATAGTACCTGCCACACAGAAATGCACAGAAGAAGCTAATTTAATGGGTAGGGAAATAGAAGGCAAGCCCCACCCCAAATATTTGGTTGTGAGGAGGTCATGAGACAATGAATGCAAAAGTGCTCTGTAAACTGTAAAGCACTGTATAAATCTCGGTAAATTACTACTGCTATTGGTTTTGGGGGAGACTGTCCCTCTGGTTTCTTAACAGACTTTTCTTAATTTGATTATCTTAACCACTAATACCTCTTGTTCAGCTGTGCTTTGCTAAGTAAAACATTAGAACTATTTTTTGAACAAATCCAGAAGGTTCGGGCTATTTAATACTCGTGGATTCTTCTTTAACTAGGTTATTGAATTTGCTGATATCTCATTTATGATCTTTACACCTGTGTTTATAAGTGTCACTTATAAACACAGGTGTAAAGATTTTTCATTTTTTTGGTTCTTATCATCCTTAGGATTTTTATATATGTCTTTAAAGAAACAGATTTAAAACATACTCCTCCTCTTCATCAGTGGTGAAGAGATTCAACCGGAATCCTGGCTCAGGGTCACTGGGTTTCTTAATCTCCATCCCTCCCAGCAGCCTGGCCAAGAAATTCAGCTCTTCTTTAGCAAGAGGGTTTGGAGCAATGCTTTCCTGCAGAAACAATTTCATGATTTTTAGCCACATGAAGGTGATCACGTTTCCTGCTGAGATCCAGAGACCCAGGGTGGTATTATAAAACGAGGCAAAACAATAACTGTTTAAATTATTTCTGGGAAGAACTGGGTCCAAATGAAGCACAGAAAACAGGTTTAAACAAAAGGAGAATCAGAATCTGCGTCAGAAGCAGGACTCTAGTAAGGCAGCAAACCAGAGATTTTCACACTTGCAAGATGAGTGGGAGGCCCCAGGGATCCCGGCTCCTCTGACCACCTTCCTCCTTTAAGGAGAAGAACACTGCTTCCTCCTCAATCTAGTGCCCTCAGCATTTACCAGTCGCCTCAGTACAGGCGCCGGGTCAAGGGCACGCGCTCCGTAGCAGCTGCCACACTGCCCTCAGGTGGTGACCATCATGAACACACCCCTGAATCTGTTCCCTCCTCTCTCTCAGTCTCGCCCCACTTCAGCCTCCACCCCCCTCCTAAACCCGCTCTCTCTAATCCAGCCTTCCCCTCTCCGCCTCTTCGTCACTCTGCCGCCAGAGTTATCTAAAATATTGTTCTCAACTCACTTCTCCCCTGCTCGAGACAAACCCCTCTGCCTCCTGCCTACAGGACAAAGTCCAGATTGTTTCAGCCCCTTCTGAATCAGGCCCCAGTGTCCCTGTCCAGTTGAATCTCAGGCCACTTGTCTCAATTACGTTCTCATCCAGCATGTGGGAGAGACGCTGCCTCCCGGCTTCCCCCAACACTATGCTCTTTTGCGCCTCGGTGCCTTTGCTCACACTGTCACGTTGGTCTGAGGGCCCATTTCTCCTCCTCAGCTATGTAGTAGCCTACCCACTCTAGAGTCCCACTTGAATGTCACCTCCTCTCAAAAGCCTTCTTGATCCCTGTCCCCCACCCCACTGGTCAGAAGTGTGCTCTGGCACAGCACTTTGTTCAGAATACCCAGCAGGCTCTTCCACTGTGTTAGAGTTACTTGTTCCTACAGCCGTCTTTCCCGGAGGACTTCAGGCCCTTCAGGATGAGACCACAACTAAGCCAGCTTTGTGGCTCTGGGTACCCAGCCCATAGAAGTAGTTCAACTAACGTTTGCTGAATAACTGACTATTCCGTGATTTGTCCTATAACCTATAGCTGGCTGGTAGCTAGTTCAGTGAAAATTGGTCAAGACAGAATTCAGAAAACCTAAAAGCCCATTTCAAACTTAGCTACCACATTGTTATATAGGGAAGCGCTGAAAAGGGATGTTTTAATGATCGAAATACATACAGGTGCTGGACTCAGCAATGCCGGACCTAATGGCACTGGTACAATGCTATTTCACATATCCTGGTGTGTGGTTCCTGCTTAATCATGGTGGTTGAGCCAAGCCTAAAATTACCTAATTAGTCAGATCACTGGAAGTCTCCATGAGAAACTACAATTAAAAACCTATGTACACGGGCCGGCTCCGTGGCTTAGCGGTTAAGTGCGCGCGCTCTGATGCTGGCGGCCCGGGTTCGGATCCCGGGAGCGCCCTGAGGCACCACTTCTCCGTCCAACGTGAGGCCGAGTCCCACGTACAGCAACTGGAAGGATGTGAACCTATGACATACAACTGTCTACTGGGGCTTTGGGGGGAAAAAACGAAATAAATAAAAATTAAAAAAAAAAAAAATTTAAAGAAACCTATGTACAGGGCCGGCCCCATGGCTTGGTGGTTAAGTGTGTGCGCTCCAATGCTGGCGGCCGGGGTTCGGATCCTGGGCGCGCACCGACGCACCGCTTCTCCGGCCATGCTGAGGCCGAGTCCCACATACAGCTACTAGAAGGATGTGCAACTATGACATACAACTATCTACTGGGGCTTTGGGGGAAAAATAAATAAATAAAAATTAAAAAAAAAAAAATTTAAAGAAACCTATGTACAGGGCCGGCCCCATGGCTTGGTGGTTAAGTGTGCGCGCTCCGCTGCTGGCGGCCCGGGTTCGGATCCCGGGCGCGCACTGACGCACCGCTTCACCGGCCACGCTGAGGCTGCGTCCCACATACAGCAACTAGAAAGATGTGCAGCTATGACATGCAACTATCTACTGGGGCTTTGGGGGGAATAAAAAAATAATAAAAAAAAAACCTATGTACTTGTAAGGCTGAATCAAGAAGGCTGCAAACAATGAGGGAAATGTGGCTAGCTTTGAAATCTAAAGAGTTCCCACCCTACTCCCCATCCAGATTTTTGTATGTAGAAATAAGCCTGAAGATAAATAAGGGAGGCAGAAGCTCACCTGTGTCCGCGAAGCTAAGTTCTCTGATGCTCCAGACATATGGGTTTCCACAGGCCGGTTCACGCTGTACCTGGTGTCAACAGAAAACCGTGAAAAAACTGTCCAGCCATTTACACTGAATTCCTTCTTACTCATAAATATAGCGCACAACTTTTGTTTGTTTATTGATTGATTGATTGAGGAAGATCAGCCCTGAGCTAACATCCATTGCCAATCTTCCTCTTTTTGCTGAGAAAGATTGTCCCTGGGCTAACATCTGTGCCCCCCCTCCTCTACTTTATATGGGATGCCACCACAGCATGGCTTGACAAGCGGTGTGTCAGTCTGCGCCTGGGATCCGAACCTGCGAACCCCGGGACGCTGAAGCGGAACGTGCGAACTCAACCACTACGCCACCAGGCCGGCCCCGCATAGCTTTTATTTTTGAGACATTAAAAAGCATCCAGAAAGGTGCTGGGAGTACAGAATACAACTAAGTGGCTGTCAACCACCAAATTTCACTTCTTCCCCCCAAAAATACCTGGGAAGCTGTGTGGAAATGCCTCCTCTTACAAAGGAATGAGTATCACTGAAAAAATGTGAATAATACATGAAGGCCAAGCCTTTCTGGATCTCCACTGCAACCAAGGTTTTAGCTAGTTGTCATCCATGCCTATTTACAATTATTTATCTTTTAAACCTGTTGAGTTACCTTATGTTTGGACATCTTAGGTGCCCTTTGAAAATGTCAGGGCTCTGCACTCATTGTATCTAAGTGGAAATGACTCCCTTGTCAGCAGAGATTTTCATGGCAGAAGTCGAGCTGGGCTTTTAAATGAAGTGACCTCCCTTGGACTTGAATTCACTCAGGGAGGGAGAATTTGCTTACATATTAGTTCCCAGTTTCAGGACTCGGTCTCCATAAAGCTCAAAAGAACCTTCTTTTGGTGCCGGGACATAGTTCCCACCGTGCTTGAATTCTACTGTCTTCACTTCTTCGCCTTTGTTGTTGAACATTCTACAATACAAAGTATGACATGATGGAATGTTCTCCAAGCTTGGGTAGTCCTGGAGGCTTCTTGATTCTTTGTACTATGGGACAAAAAGGAGTTCATGCACTCCTTCAAGATAAAGATGCTAGTGGAGGTAATAATAATCATACAATAAATAATAATATTTATTGAAAACATGTTATGTGCCAGGTGCTGTGTAAGCATTTAGAGCATTATTGTCTTATTCATCCTCACAGCAACCATTTAATAGATGAGGAAATGAATCCTGGAGAACTGGGTGGTTTGCTCAGGTGTCTGCTAAGTGTCAGAGCTGGGATTAGAACCTGACCACCTCCCTGCTGTGCTTTACTCAAGAAAGGGAGGGGCCCGGGATGCTGCATTCTCTGCCGTGGCCACATACTGGTTTCCTGGCACCCAAACACTGGTCTGACAGTTACTGTTGAGAATTCACCTGATGAGTCCTGGAACTTCAGTTCCCCAGGGAACAGGCCCAGACACGGGCAACACAAAGCGACCATTAGAATTCTGAACTCTGTCCTTTAGAAATATGGACACCTGGAAAACAATACACTTATTGTCATTCATCTCGGTGCATTTTCATAGACATAAGCATTCTGAGGATGGAAAGTGTACGATGGTTTGGAAATGTTACCTAGTGAGTTTATAACAATAAGAAGAGAGAAAAACTCACCGTTAACTAACACCTGCAGAGTTACGGTGTTTTTACAAACAGAACTTCTTTTGAACCGCACAGCAAATCTTCCAGGAAAGTTGTATTACCCTCATTTTAAAGATTAGGAAGCTGAGGTTTAGAGTGAAGTGACTTGCTCAAAGAGAACAAGAAGAGAGAGGGCTGGGAATCAAAACCAAAGCTGACTCTAAATTCCACACCCACTCCTTGGTGCCCTGCTCACTTTCCATACACCTGCAAGCCTTGAGCTTAAGAACCTCATTACTTCCATTTTACAGATGAGAAATCAGCAGCTCAGAGCTTAAGATACTTCCTCAAGGCCAGCTAGCTCATAGCAGGTAGAGCTGAAGATTCAAACCCGTGTGTTTCTGATTCTGGAGCCTGAGCTCTTAGCCATGTGCTGGGCTGGTGAGAAGGGGCTGGAGCAGGTGGATCCAGTTGGCATTAGAGTTTGAAGGTCTTTTATGTGACTGAAAACACCACATTATGCTTATTTCTACTCCCTGGCTTGTGCACTCGCTATTGAGGTCTTGATCAGATTAAGTCCCAAGAAGATTGTGGCAGTTAATCAGTTTTATTGGCTCTTAGCTTCCTCATCTGTAAAATGAGACAAACTTGAAGGTCCTTTCAAACTCTAAAATTGTACAAGATTATATTAGGAATACCATCAAAACTAAGCATGTGTTGTGTGCAAGGCAGTGAAAATGCAAAGTGATCAGAATTTGTAAGCTGGCAGCTTGGCATGCTGCTGTTACAGTCTAGGGTACCTCTCAGCTGGGCCACCCCTCGGCTCTCGGATTTTGGTATGTTACACAGCCTTTCTGGGCATCAATGTTCTCTTTGGTAAACGGGGTAATAACAGTATCTATTCAATGAGTAAGTATGACAACTAAGTCAGATAATGGACAAAAAGCACTATTCCAGAGCCTGACACATAGTATGTGCTCAATAAATGGTAGCAAATACTCTTAGTACTGCAGTCTAATTGGACACAGGAAACAAGCATAAAATGGGGGAAAAATGACACTATAAAGCCGGATATGCTGAATAGCATATGCATATTAGCCCACTGAGGAGAATGACTTCGGCATGGGAGGTGGGTAGGGGTGACTGTGGGTTTGGAGCTGGACCTGGAGGAAGAAGGTGGGTGTGAAGGCACTTCAGAAGCAAAGATGAGCAGGCACAAGGCATGTTTTGGGGGGTTGTGTAAACTGGTTTGGTCAGAGGGTTTGGCTAGATGAACTTGAAGGTATTTTTAACCTTGAGATTCTGTGACTGAGGGATGTAAATACTACAGGCATGGAGAAAGAAAATTTGGAGAGAGAAGTGGGAATATATATATGTGCTGGACCCTCTGTTAGCCTAATTCTGATAAGGTTGACTACGTCATAGTAGATCTGAAATGTACAAATTTAAGTCAAGTGCGTGTTTGTGTTTGACCTGAGAATCTGCCTGTGGCTCCACAGGATTGCTGGGTCCGTCTGCTTGCCCAGCCCCTCTGCTGGCCCTCAGCTGTAGGTGTGGCTCTCCCTCGCCCTTTTCCTCTCACTTCACTCCTTTTTTTCCCAGGTGATCTCATCTACTCCCACACACCAGTGTTCACCTCTGTGCTGATGGCTCCCAGATCTCGAGCTCTCCCCAAACCCGATCCTCCTCTGATGTTCCCAATCTCCGTGAATGACACCCCCAGGTCACCAAGTCAGCAATCTGAGTTGCCCCGCCCACCACCTTCCCATGGGTGTCTCTTCAGTGGCCCAGCCCTGCCAACCCAATGAGCACTCCTGTATCCGGCCCCCACTCTCTGCCCTGCTCCCTAGTGCAGACCTTCATCCTCTCTTGCCTGGCCACTGCAGGAGCCTCCTGACTGGCCTCCCTGCCTCCCCTCTCACTTGTTTTTGATCCATCCTCTCTTCTTCTGCTAAAGAGACTCTTCTAAACTCATATCTTACCATGTTCCTCTCCTGCTTCAGTGGCTCTCTGCTGCCTGCTAGATGATGTCCAGTTGGTCCTTGTTTCTCTCTGAGGCCATGTTCCTCCTTGAACCCTCTGTTCCAGCCACACTCTATTGTTTACAGCCTTCCGCCCCCCTGCACCACCAAATACATCAGGCAGTCACACGCCTCAAGCCTTTACTGAGATGGTGTCCTCTGCCCAGGTGTCATCCTAACCCCTCCCCTTGTGTTCCCATGGGCCTGGTGAAAACATATTTCTATTAAAAGATACCAGATCCTCTACGAAGGCTTTTCTGATTCTCTTAGGTAGAACCGACCACTCCCCCTTTGTGTCCTCTCTCTTCACATTCTTCTATTTCAGAACCAAACATCTGTAAGGCACTTAGTGCATTTTTTCCCCCTCTCTAATAAGTTCCTGAGGGCAAGAACCATGTTTTACGGAGAGAGGGAATGAAGGTCACTGAGCCGTGGGGCTGGAGTGCTGCATGAGACATCTCCAGGAGCATTTACATTCCCCAGGACGATGGCAGGACTCTGGTGGCTGGGAGCAGTGAGCCAGGGATTTAAATGCTCAGTGAATATGGGTGGGCGACTTGACAGTTTCAGCGGGGAGTGACGAGCATAGGGCTTTAGACAGTGTTATGGGTGATGGTTGGCCTTACAAGAGGAGGGCTAAGTTTGTGAGGGCAGGAGAATAATGATCTGAAAGTGAGGGGGAAGCTGGCAGAATGCCGACCCTGCTTCTCACATGCTGCCTGCGGGTGAGAAAGAATGACCAGCCTCCCCCAAGTGGCCAGAAGACTTCAAATGCCATCTCCGTGCCGTATGCTGAGGATTCCCACATTTACGTCTCCAGCCTGGATCTCTCCTTGGAGCTCTAGGCTTGGATAATCAACTGCACATTTGACATTGCTACTTGGATGTCTAACAGGCAAATCAAACTTAAATAGAATGAATTTTCCTACCCAAATATACTTCCCTTCAGTCTTTCCCCCTCTCAGTAAATGGCACCCCAGTTGCTCAGGACAAAACCTTAGTAGTAGCTGCTCTTCATTCTTCTTTCCCTCCTTCTCCACATCCACTCTCTTAGTAAGTCTTGTTGATCTTGCCCCGAGATCCTCAATGTGGCGGATCCCAGATGCGAACACTTCTCCCTATCTCCCCTGTAGCACCTAATCCAAGCACTTTCACTTTTTACCTAATTTCTACAAGAGTTTCCCACCTGCTGTCCTACCTCCACCCTTGTCCCATACAGTTCACCTTCCAGAACACAAATCAGATCGTGTTACCTCTCACCTTAAAATGCTTAAAATCTGTCCTTTAGTCTTAGAAGAAACTGCTTACTAGGGCCGAAAGCTAAGGGGCCTGGTAAGTAGCAGTTTATTTATGACTGGCATCTGTTCGCATTCGTCAGTGCCCACGCTGCATGGGTTGTTAACTTTATTCTGAGTATCGCTTCTGTCTAGGATGCGCCATTCACACTGGCGTTCTCTTTGTCCAAGGAACACATCATGCTTTTTCCCACTAAGGGCCTTTGAGCTTGCTGTCCCTTCTGTTTAGAATCTGTTCCCTGAGATCTTTGTTAGTTACCTTCTCAGCTAAAATGTCTGTCCTCGGAAAGGCTGTCCTTGACTCTAATTCTGTTACCTAAAGATGTGCCATCCAGGGCAGTAGCGATTAGTCAAATGTGGCTGTTAAAATTAAAATTAAATTAAAAGTTCTGTTTCTCAGTCACACTAGCCACATTTCAAGTGCTCAATAGCCACATGTGGCTGGTGGCTACCATACTGGACAGCACAGATACAGAACATTTCCATCATGACAGGAAGTTCCATTGGACAGTGCTGGTCTAGTGGAACATTCCATCCCAGTGGCCCTCTAGACTTGACCTAATATTGCCACCTTCCTAAAAGTTATCAGAACCAGAACATGACTTACTTGTCCTCTCTGTCTCCTCCTACTAGCATAGAGCCTCCTCAAGGCAGGGCCTCTGTCTGGTTCACTTACGTATCTCAACACTGAAAGCAGTGCCTGGCTTAGAGTGGGCACTCAATAAATATTTGTTACACTGACCAGTTTTCTAGGGATGACATATTTCCAAGTGGAGTGGATAATGGAGCGGAGCTGTAAGGAACATCTATGAAGAGGCAAGGATGGAATGATGTTTTCCAACAAATGAAACAATGGACAGAACACGAGGAAAGTCCATGAAGGAAGGACGCATGAATGGAAATGAGAGTGTGGGAGGGGGTGGGTGACCTGAGGAGCCTAGTCTTTAGGAGGCAACTCTGGAGGAGTTCTGGAGGGCTGAAAGGGGGTGGGAATTGAGACGGCTGTCAATAACTGCTCAGGATCCTAAATGGAATTGGTCTTCGTGCAGCCTGGCCCAGTGCACAGGTCAGGGCCTTGAGCACATTAAGGCCACTTCAGGTTGTTTCATGATTTCTCAGAGAGCCTTGGATATCATGATGAGGAGTTTTGTATTCGCTTTGGTTAAACAATGAGCAAGCGAGTGTTAGATCAGAGCTGTGTTTTCTTGATTTAGTTGGTTTTGCTAACAAATCTAAAAACTATCATGACTGTTTTGAAAACAGAGAAAATCTGTATAGGCAATCACAAACTGCAGCTGAGCAGAACTACTATTAAAGATCTGACTTGGAAAACCAGGCAGATGTTACAGACCAGTGGTTGAACATTGTCAGGATATGTGATTCCTATTTCTCTTGATGAATATTCTGGTGTTTCATTGCCTGCCCATCTAGCAACTAAAGCTTAATATATTTTGTGGTTTAATATATTTTGATGATTTTGTTATAGACTTATTATTAGGAAAGTCTTTTCATTATAATGAATTTTATCTTATCAGAATTGAGAAATCAATATGACTGCTTATATTACTACAATCCATAAAATAATGTCCAAATATACACAGTCTTGATAACAATATGATGCAGTTTTTAATACTATAAAGCAATGCAAAACTTAATCTTAAAATTTGTACTTTCATATTTTTTATTTTAATCAATGACTATTAGAGATCTTAATTTATATTGATGTTATTATTGCTCTATTTGTAGCAAATAAAATTATTCATGACAGTTAAAAATAAAATTGGCCTCAGCGTTCAAATCTATTTGTCTTCCCTGGTCCAAGGAAGGGAAATAACAACCAGGCACTAAACCTATTCTATTTCTTCTTTTTCCTGAATTTTATTTTGTGACTCTGTTACACATGCACATGTACAAAATTCAGAAGGTTCAAGGGTATACGATGGAACATAAGTCTCTCTCCTATCCCTGTCCTTCATGCAGCTCTCCACTCCAGCAGGTGACCACTGCGACCACGTTCTTGTCTATCCTTCCAGAAGCACTCTACACTACACATATACAAGCAAATACATATGTTGCTTCAGTGAATCCTCCCAACACACTCAAATTAGGATCATCATTTCCATTTTTCAGATGAAGAAACTAAGGCTCAGGAGAAGCCATTTGCCCAGTTCATGGAGCTGTGCTGGAGCTGGGGTTTGAACACAAGAATCCCATTGGCTTCTCATTTTGCCCTATCATTCCAGCTCTCCCATACCAGTGTGTTACATGATGGGAAGGAACAAAGTTCTGTCCAAGAGAGACAGGCCTCAGATTCAGAAGCTCAGAAATGTGTTTTAAAAGTTAGGGTGTGGAACTACCTGGAGCAGGCACAACAGGAGGAGGCAGGGTCAGTTGGGAGGCAACAGCCAATAAGAACACGAGGGCCTGAGCTAGCCGGGCAGCAACAGGAATGGAAAGGAGGGTGTGGATATTGAAAAGGCAGACTCTACGGGCCTTAGAAGCATTTAGATGAAGGTCAGAGAAGGGGAATCAAAGGTGACGCTCTGGTTCTGAGCCAGGCAAGTGAAGGAATGGTGGTGCCCTCAAAACAAATCGGGAAGTTGGGGCAGGACTTGAATTTTGGAGGTTAGTTTAGTTACAGACATTAACTTGTAGGCACAGGTGGGCATCCTGGTGCAGAGTTTCAGCAAGCAGGTAGAGACGTGGGTCTGGATGGCAGGGCTGGGGCTAGGGTAGAGTAGAGCTTAGACTCAGGAGTCCTAGGTGAAGGAGCTGGAAAGGGGGGAGGAAAGTGAATTCCTAAACAGAAGGGGATGGGTGGAGGCAGAAGGAGGAAGGTTTGGGGACAGGAGGAGGGAGAGGAAGGAGTGAAAGGCATAGAGGCAAGGGAAGGCCAGGATGGTATGGCGCCATGGAAGTCCAGGAAAGGTGAGGGTCTCATGGAGCAGGAGGGCAGCCCCCCTGACATCATCAGATCCTGGAGAGGTCCAGGATGCTAAAGGTCAAGAAGAGGTTCTGGAATTGAGATCAGGCAGGTTGCCTTGAGAGCCCATTTCTTCTGGAGAAGCAAGGGCAGAAACCATATTTTAAAGAAACACAGAAGGTACCTGGGAAGGAATGGCAGCACCATTGTCTTCCTTGGTCCATTTCAAAACTGCTGAGACTTGTTATCAGAAAGTTTATCATCACGGAGCCAAACAGTGAGGACATCACTAACTGTGCCGAATTTCAGCCCTCGTCTACCTGACCACTCAGCACCCTCTTTCCCGAGGGCAGCAGCGGCAGGGCTGCCCATTCACTCACCCGGATGTGCAGGTCCTGGAAGAAGATGAGGAGCGTCTGCCGGATCAGCTGGAACTCCCCCGCGGAGAGACCCCCATATACCTGCCAGAGGCAAAGCAGAAGGACGTGAGACGAGAGTGTAGACAGGCGGGGGTAGGCGGGCGCTCAGGGATGCGAGCAGATAAGACGGGAGAGGACTCAGCTGCTGGGGCGGGAGGGACAGCAGGAGAGCCAGCACCGCTCCCTCACCAGAGTGACAACCCCATATGCCACACCTGAGCAGGGTACACCTCACCTCCCCTGGTCCCCACAGACCTGGAGAGGCTGTTCCTCAGGATTTAGCATAACATCCACCACCAACTCTCTTTCAGAAAAGTTAGGAGAAAATGGCTATGCTCAGTGTCATTGCTTTCCCAGTCTTGAAGAAGGCAACAGTAAGAGGGCATAAGATGATAACGCCAATTGTAGTACCAAAATGGATACTTGTAGATCTTTAGAATTTTCTGGGAGTGTGGCAGGCCTCATCCTGTTCTCTCTGCCATAGAATCTGCCTGTTCCTAACTGAGGAATGAGGACAAGTATTGGGACCAAGAGGTGATAAACTGAGGATACTCTTACTTCAGTCAGCTGCCGGAAAGTCTCATCCACTTGACGCAGGATGGTTGGGGAGTCGCGGATGAATCCCTTGATGGCATCTAAATGATTGAAAGTGACCAGCAACACATCCTTGGGACGGGGACACATCAATACTTGATATTTGAAAGCCACAGTCATCAGGTCATAGAGCTGCCAACCCATACACGAACAAAATAAATAGGATCATAAAAGCAGAATGTCAGAACCTCTGAACAATGATTCAGTCAAGCATTTACTGAATGAAAACCAGTTCTGGGCATATCATATAGCTCAGGTGACCATATCAATTATCAATCACACCAAGACACTTTTCAGAATAAAAGGGGGTGACATTAATAACTAAGCCAGGACACGGGAGTAAACCCGGACATTCCTAGGCGAACCAGGACTTTTGGTCAGCTTCTCTGTACTGCTGATGGAACTCATTTGAAACAATATTGGCAGCTGGGGACCCTGAACTGGGTGCTGGACTTGGAGAGCAAAAAGCCACATTTAAGCCCTCCATCACTGCTGATTTATTGGACGGCCCTGGCCAAGTCTCTCCATCTCTCTGAGCCTGAGTTTTCTCATCTATAAAAAATACTCCTGAATTTCCTATCATTGTGGAGCTGCTGAGAGGAGAAAATGAGATGATATGTGTGAAAGTGGCAAGTATAAAGCTCTACAACTGTATAAGAACAATTTTAAATGACGAACAATACTTAATAAGATATCAACAAGCCCCATGTATGGTATGACCGTCCATGAATGATAAGAGGTGAGAAATTGGTGAGGACCTAAGCAGTCAGGATAGGCTTTGTGGAAGAAGAAGGCAGTCATAGGGTTCAAACTAGCTGAGGGAGAGGAAAGGCATTCTAGTTGAGGGGAACAGCATGTGTGAGGGCCTAGAGGCAGCAATGAGTATGCTATTTTCCTGGAGAATGAGGAGAACAGCCTGACTAGAGAGGACAGCTCGTGTTGGGGATGGTGGGAAATAAAGTCGGATAAGTACGGCAAGGTTAGAACATTAAAGGTTTAGAAATATAGGCAAAATAATTTAGACTAGATAGGGTAGGAATTAGGGGCTACTGAAGTTTTCTGAGCTGACATGATAAAAGTGGTGATGAAGCAAGGTTAGTCAGTCTGGCAATGATGAGATGTGAGAGAGGGGAGAGACTGAAGCCAGGGAGATTAGCTAGTGCCTGGCTCCTAATAGGTTTGCAATAATATCTATTGATTGTATGAATGAAAAAAATTTTGTTGGCGTAATCCAGACTTAAGGCCTGGAATCAAGACAGCAAGAATGGAAAAGGCAGGAAAAAGAAGAGCATGTGATACTTAGAAGGAAAGGCTGTCAGTACCTGCTGATTATCTGACTAGATCTGGGGGATGAAGACGCGGCCTGTCCAAATGACTACAGTATTTTCACCTTAGTGCCTGGGAGAAGAATGGAGGCAGGGAAGTCTGGAGGATGCGGGACAGGAGCCCGTTTGGGAGAGAAGGTATGGACGCGTCTGAGGCAGGATTGAAAATATAACTACTACCATCTGTTGTACCATGTACTACCATCACGTACCAAGCACATTTATATACGTTACCTCATTTGATCCCATTTAATCTCCACAAGAACTCTGTGAAGTAGGTATTATCCCAAGTTTAAAAACGAAGAAACTTGCCTAATGTCACACAGCTGGTAGTAAGTGGCAGGGTGAGATGTGAACTCAGGACAGTCAGATCCTAAAGCATTTGCTAGAACTTTCTACATGATCCCATTTCTCAAATATGCAACTAAACATTTACTTAGAAAGTGGCATAAAACAGGAACAGCCTGTGTGTGTGTGCATACGTGCAGGGGCGTTTAATACTAGAGATATAGATTTGAGACTCTCTGCCACCAACATCAAACATTAAGTACTTGTCGTGTATAGGACACCATGCTAGGAATAAAGGAGACAAATGGGTATGAGATGAAGAAATGAAAGTTCAGAGTTATTCAGTAAATTGAGTTTTACAGCTAGTATTTGGTAGAGCTAAGACTTGAATCCAGGTTTTTTGATTTCAAATTCTGTGTCCTTTTTCTATGGAAACCTTAACCTTCTTAAAGGCAGAGGGAGAAGAGCAGGCATAGAAGATAATCAACATTTATCAAACATCTACTCTGTGCCAGGCCTCGGTGTGTCATTATATACACATGTTTCTCACTTAATCCTCCCAGCACTGATGAAGTAGCTATTATTATCCCCATTTTATAGATCAGAAAGTGGAGGCTCAGGGAGATACAGTGACTTTCCAGAGGTAAGTGGCAGGAGGTAAGAAGGCATAGTTAAAGGCAGTCTGTTTCCCTGAGGTTTCCAGCAATAAGTGAGCATTGATTTTGCACACCTAGCATCCACTGTCAGGCCTCACGATTTTTAAAAATTCATATAATGGAAAAACTTGAAAAGGAATTGTTATTATTATTTTAAAATTAACTGAAGTCTGTATTTTATTCAGATTTCATTAGTTTTCCCCAATGTCCTATTTCTGTTCCAGGATCTCACATTACATTTAGTTGTCATGTCTCCTTAGGATTCTCTTGGCTGTGACAGCTTCTCTGATTTTCCTTGTTTTTGGTGGTCGTTGAGTACTGGTCAGGAATTTTGTAACAAGACCTCCAAATGGTATTTGTCTGATGATTTTCTGATGATTAGACTGGTGTGGTGGGTTTTGGGAAGAAGATTACAGGGGTAAAGTGCTATCCTTATCACATCATACTAGGGCAAGTACCACCAACACAACTTATCTCTGTTGATATTGACCTTCATCACCTGGTTGAGGTCATGGTTGTCACTTTCTCCACTGTAAAGTTAACTGTTTTTGCCCCCTTTCCATTCTGTCCTCTTTGGAAGGAGGTTACTAAGGGCAGCGCACGCACATGGAGTGGGGGAGTTATGCTCTCCTTTCTGGAGGGCAGAATATCTACATAAATTATTTGGAATTCTTCTGAATAGGAGATTTGTCTATTCTCTGCCACTTACTTATTTGAAATTTTTATTTTAAAAATCAGAATGCCCTAATAATTTGTTTCCCAAAGAAATGGATATGTTCATGTTATAAGTAAAGACCTAGTAGTTTTGAATTTGCTTTAAAAAAAAGCCTGGTTTCCTCATTGCAGAGCTGACATTTGTTAAGAACGAAGCGGAATTCAAGTTTTCAGGGCTGAGTTCTTGTATTGGGTTAAGGTGTTCATAAACATGGGCATAAAAACCAGCTCTCCCCTTCGGGCAGGTGGTATGACACCAATAACAGAGCGGTTGGTGTGGATGACTTCTGAGGCCCTTCCCAATGCTGAAACCCACCAACAACTAATATTTACAAGTGCCTTTGTTTTGCAAGGCACCATTGCACACATCGTCTCATTTGACTCCAGTCTATGGTCATCCACATAGGCACCCATCTGCTCACCTTATCCATGCTGGCCTGGTTCAGTCTTATGATGGAGGCATGAGCCAGGCGGTCGTAGACAGTCCTCAGTGCCTTCTTGGAGTAGAGCTCTTGGGGTTTGAACAATTCCTCCATAAACTTTCGATTGAACATAGTTGAGATGATGTCATTCAGAACTGTAGAAACAAGGGAGAATACAGCTGAACATGAGGAAGTTTTTTTTGTTTTTAATTATGCCACAATCTTTTCTTTTCTTTTCTTTTTTTTTTTTGCAGGGAAAGATTTGCCCTGAGCTAACGTCTGTTGCCAATCTTCCTCTTTTTCTTCTTTCCCTCCCCAAAGCCCCAGTGCATGGTTGTATATCCTAGTTGTAAGTCATTCTAGTTCTTCTATGTGAGCCACCGCCATAGGATGGCAACTGACAGACAGGTGGTGTGGTTCCACAACAGGGAAGCAAACCCGGGCCACAGAGGTGGAGCCCACCGAACTTTACCCACTAGGCCATCAGGGCTGGCTCGGTACTGGCAGAAGCTTTCTTCAGGAAATGCTCTCTGTGTACGAATGGAATGGAGGAGCTGAGCCTATGCAGAGTGGGGATGCTGATGGGCTGGATGAGATCTGCTCCCTGGGGAGAAACCACACAGGTGCCCCAGTAGAAAGCAGGGTCCAGAGCGCTTTCTGAGACCATCTCAGAGCAAACGTAAATGTGACAAGGTACAAATGTGTTGTGCTCCAGGGGTTACAGATCACTTTTACATACAATATCTCTCACTTGATGATAGGGGAAATGTTCTTTCTTTCTTTAAAAAAGATCCCTGTGAGTATTTTAGATTAGAATCTTCCTTAAGATGAGAAAGAGTATCACTCTTTTCTGTTTGTTTAGCACATCTATAACATTTTTACTTAAAATTAAATTTTATAAAAATGGGACCAATAATGGTAATTGACTTTTTCTTTTTTTTCCGGAAAATATTTAATGAAAATAGACACTCAGAGATTAAAACATTTCTAATGTTTCTACAAGACGTGTACTTCAGATTAGCACCATTTTAGTATGCCTTAATTTCTACATTTGATCTATAATATTGATATTACACTGTAGTAGTGTCACTGTAGTGACATGTCTGATATTGTTGCTCAAATGGAAAATTTCAGTCTGGAGAGAATAAAAGGTCCTAAGGCATGTGCCAACAAAAGTCTTTATAATTCCACTTCTTCATTCACTCATTCAGATAGATTATTTAATAATAAATAATTATTTAAGATTTAGATATTTTGTGTTACTCAAATAACATTAGTTGAGGGCTAGGAAAACCTCTGGTACAAGGAATAGGAACAATAGAGAATTTTTTTTTTCTTTTAAAGAATCTTTTTTTTAAAAATTTTTCCCCCAAAACCCCAGTAGATAGTTGTATGTCATAGCTGCACGTCCTTCTAGTTGCTGTATGTGGGACACAGCCTCAACATGGCCGGAGAAGAAGTGCGTTGGTGTGCGCCTGGGATCCGAGCCCGGGATCCGAACCCGGGATCCGAACCCAGGTCGCCAGCAGCGGAGCGCGCGCACCTAACCGCTAAGCCACGGGGCTGGCCCCTGAGAAATCTTAATTAAGCCAGATATATTCTAGCCTAAAGGTGAGAGCATATGGATGCTGACACTATACATTCATAGCAATTAAAATTTGAAAGAAAACTGTTTACTTAAAGTAATTATACAAAATCAATTATGAAACATGAGTGATTATTACTAAGAAAAATAAATGCCTCTTTCTTTTGCCACACAAAGGACACACCAGGTGATTGGCTGTGGCCATGTATCTCAGAGAGTGAAGGCAGGGTGGAGCATTGTGGTCATGATTTCAGGCACTCTCTCTACCTTTAAAGTTTTTTTTTTCTTTTCTGTGAGGAAGATTAGCCCTGAGCTAACATCTGATGCCAATCCTCCTCTTTTTGCTGAGGAAGATTGGCCCTGGGCTAACATCCGTGCCTATCTTCTTCTACTTTTATATGGGACACTGCCACAGCATGGCTTGACAAGTGGTGCTTCGGTGCGAGCCCAGGATCCAAACCTTTGAACCCTGGGCTGCCAAAGCGGAGCGTGTGCACTTAACCGCTGCACCACTGGGCTGGCCCCCTCTACCTTTAAATAGTAATTGATAGAAGGACCGTGAAGGCTCAGGCCAGCATTTTAAAGCATCTCAAAGAGCATATTTTATTTTTTATTTATTTTTATTTTTTTTGCTGAGGAAGATTAGCCCTGAGCTAACATCTGTTGCCAATCTTCCTCTTTTTTTTGCTTGAGGAAGATTAGCCCTGAACTAACATCTGTGCCAATCTTCCTCTACTTTATATGTGGGTCACCGCCACAGCATGGCTGATGAGTGGGGTAGGTCCGTGCCCGGGAACTGAACCCACAAACTCGGGCTGCTGAAGCGGGATACACCGAACTTAACCACTAGGGCACAGGGCCAGCCCCTCAAAGAGCATCTTTTGGGGGAAGGAGGAGCTGAGGGCTGGTTGTACTTAAATCTTAAATGGAAGTGCTATGGTGGGGGGAGGGGAAACACTTTTTTCCTCCACATTGACACAAAAGAACTGACTGTGACTCCTTACAGAAGTGTTGAACTCACACTTGGCCTTTGAATTTTACTCTAGACTCCATGGTATTAGTGAGGAAGAACCAAATCCATTACCAACACAGGGTATCCCTCACATTTCACAATTTCACCCCAGTGCACCTTGCCCTTAATGTGCACTAACATTTCCCCAACGTGGGCCCCTTGGAGACGTATGAACTCTTCTGGGTTTGCCTCATGCATGGCCTTTTGCCTTCGACCTAAATAAGCAAGGACTTGCAATAAACTGGGTTTTCTAATGTTTTTCTTACCGCAGCCTGTATAAAATGCAGAATTTGCAAGGAAATAGGTACAACTGAAAAGTCACACATAAGGCCTCAAAAGAGAGAATTTGAAGAATTTTCCATAGATTTATATAGGCCAGGGAGGAGTGCCAGAGGGGAAGAATTCAAGTTAAACAAGCACATCAGCTCTGAGTCTGTTAACGCTTACAAATAGCTACTATTCACCTAGGTGCCGAGGCATTTCTCTAGAGTCTTTCAGCCCTTAGCAAGTTCTAGGAAAATAACTTAGAGCCAAATAAATCAGTTCTAAAAGAAAGAAAATCCCAAGCTGATTGTTAGCCACTCTGGCAAAGTAAAAAACAAAACGAAGCCTTTCCCCTGGGAAGTGAATAAGCTATATATCACCATGGCTCCCTGCACAAGAATGTCGACAAAGTTCACCTGTTGGGAAGAGAGTACAGCAGCCCGTGTCGCTGTAGGCAGACCCGTGAACACAAATGCCCCCAAAGAGGAAATGGCAGTTTTACGGCTGGGCCCCGGCACCCAGGGCTCCCACCTCTCACTTAATTCTTTTGAAAGAATATGGGGGCACAAATTAACATGCTTACATCTCACAGTGTGCTTCCCTAGCACTTGGTTGAGGCAGGCCTACTATGTACCAGACACTGAGAGAAAGGCCAGGGTGCAAAGAGAGAGGAAATGTCCTTGCCCTAGAGAAGCAGCCTATTTCCAAACCCGAGAAATGGTTTTAACCAGACCTGTTAGTCTGTCTTGGTGTTAGTTTTTGGCACTCACATGAGCTTTCCATAATTTCACGAGGCAGGAATGTACTAGGAGCCAGATTTTGTCAGGAAGAGTCCAAGGCCAGGAAGGGAAGCGATTTTTCACAGGTGCATCAGAAGGGTTACTAACTGAATTCTAAACATACCAGGCTTCTAGTCCTGGGTTCAGATTATGAAGTCAGTTTCTGCTCATTTTTGAATGCTTAAGTTAAAATACATTCCAGTGATTCAATTATGTATACAAAAAGCCTTCGAAATCTACACTACTCACCTGAAACTCTGCCATGAGTCAAGACGTGGGCCAAAAATTGCTCAAGAGAAGTGGTAAAAGATGGTTGTGAAATATAATAAAAGTGTATCATGCACTTCAATTGGGCTTTTCTTTGAGCCTGGCCTGATGAAATAATTCTCTTGATGAAATCAACTGAGTTTTTACCAACTACCTTTGCTGTAAATTTAATTGTTTATGGGAACATGCAATTTGGAACCAAGGATAAAAGAGAGAAGCTACTGCTTTTGGATGGTTACCGTGTTTTGAATCCTTACTATGTTCTAGGCTCTGAGCTTAGAACTTTCCATGCACTATCTCCTTTAAACCCCAAGAGAGCTCTGAACTACTATCCTTATTCTATCAAGGAGGAAAACTGAGTCTTAGAGACGTTCAGGTCCAAGGTCACACAGGTGGTGGTGGAGATGAAATTAGAACGCTGTTGTTTGATTCTAATGCCCGGGCTCTTAAATATTACATATGTTATCGCCTCAGCATACTTGGTGTGATGAGAGCATTTAAAATATCGAGGAGGATGGCTGATGACATGCATAAACTGCACCCAAATGTCAAATGATGGGAGGTACTCGTGGCATTTAAAGGTGAGAAAGGCTAAGGTTTTATTCTGAGGAATTGGCAACTTTTTCAGGTTTGCTGCTAGTTGTAGGTGAAGGGGAAACTGAAGATCTGGCATGACAGGGTCACACTGCATGCATGAAATCATGCCTTTTGCCCACAGCCCTGGCAGCCATGCAGTCACATGCTTCCATTCTTCTCGGTTGCTCAACAGATATCTCAGTGTGCTAAGGAGAATGGCTAGGGAGGGTCACTCATGTTGAAACACAATTCTTTGGCTACATGACACTATCACAGAATTGTTTTAAGGACTACCAAATAGGACAACCTACCCAGAAGTGTAGCTTTGCTCTAGTTTTCCCTGCAAAACTTGGAACTGATGAAAAGAGACAAATCATTCAGGTGCAATTTGGTCCTTTTGCCAAAGTTTGCCTGGTTTTCATCTCTCACGCTGTATTTATTTAAGTAAAAGATTCAAATGTGTAACCAATGTCTTGCCTAAAGAGAAACTCGTGCCTATTTTTTTACTTTGAAATATGTCGAGTGGTCCCACTTGAAGCCCCATCGAGCAAGGACTGCGTAAACCTGTGGATGCAGCCTGAACACACGCAGCCCAGAGATAGCGTACCTCGTCCTCTGTCCATTTCTGTCCATTCATCTACATGAAGCATAGAAAAAGAAAACACCAGTTCA